TAATCATAAACCGATGAATATTAAATGATTTTTAAAAAATTCAAAAAATATTTTTATTCTAATATATCTAAATATCTGGGTTATTTTCTTATCCAAATAATTATTTTTTTCATTTTTTTAATGAAAAAGTGTTATCAGTTATGGCCCCTCATTTTAGACATGACATTTTGCTTGATACTGTATGAAGATTATTCGTTGCAACTTTTATGGAGAAATTACGGACTTTTTTTTAACTAGATAAATATACAACAAAAATACCGTTTTTTCTTCTTGTATCAATTTCTTTTCACAAAAATTAAATATTAACAAAGAATTGTTACACAAATGTGGAGCCCAATTTTGTAACGAAGATATTCCTAATCTCTTTACCGAAATCCGCATATCTTTATCTTTTGAAACAAAATAGTTAAGGATGTCTGTTCAAAGGACAAAAATGTCCAAGAAACCGAAATGTTATAAGTAAATGTCGAATAATTCAAACCCATTTGTCTTTTAAATTTAGCACATGAAGATATAATTTTTATTACATATACAAATTGATTTTGTAAAAATTAGCATGTATATATGTGAACTTTTGTAAAAAATCACTGTGGGTCTAAAACTGTATCACATGCCCATAATTGTCCTAAAGCTAAATGTCATCGTCAGATAATGAGGGTCTGAATAGGGATTCATTATTTCTGTATTCTATCATTTTAGGCAATTTTTTCCAATCGTTATACCTTTTGGCGATCATTCTTTATTCCATATATTCTATTACCTCATCATTTTCTTTTCTATATATTTGTCTGGTAATTTTTTGTATTCTTTATTTTTTTGTCAATAATTTTCTATTCTATAAACCCCCATCCACACCCTCATGTATAAAGGAAGACGATAAACATTTTAGTATACATACCACCCGTTGTCACTTTCACCTGACATACAAACCACAAATTGTTATTTTTACCTGGACACGGGACTTATATAATTACGTAATAATAACGGATATAGTAAATTCAGTAGAATATAACCTGTATCAACGCACTGGCTTGTTAAATGAATATTGATCTGACAACTGTTTATCGTATTTTTAGTTATTTTAAAATTGAGAATGGAAATGATGAATATGTCAAAGAGACAACAACCCGAAAAGAGCAGATGACAGCCGAAGGCCACCATATTTGATAAGGTTTTAGTTTCTAATGAGACAATAACCATCGTATTTTCAGAAAATCTCTAAACGGATAATGAGAGTTTAGCGACCTTGACTGGCTATACAGCTCAAGCACGGTCGGTCTCTAAAAGTTGCCGAATTTAAGAGCCTATATCAAGAGATAGGCTTTACCTAGCTTTAGGTGTTTAAAAAATATCCATTTAAGAACCAAATGTGGCTTCTTTATATTTATACCAAAATTGAGTTCAAGGCAGTATTTTGTCGAAGAGAACAATTACACAAAGTGCAACATGCGAGAAGAGGTTTCATTTCCCTTATTTATTTTTTATTGAAGTATGTAATCTTATAGATTACTTCACGGAAATATATTTTAAATGAAAAGGTGCAACTGGATGCATCCCTAAAAAACAAATTTAAATATATATATATATATATATATAATTTAAATTTGTTTGTTATATATATATATAAAATGACGGATATTCGTCAATCAGACAGCAATCCAACATAAATACGAGTAAGTTACCTGACTTCTAGAATAAGAGGTTTAAGCATACCCCGCGCTGGTCAACTTTCTGAGTTGTGGGTAAAATTCAATATACATGTAGGACTGTGAAACGGGAAATATACGAAAGATTTGTTTTTACGTACGATGAAATGTCATTCCCTCAATACATACGGCTCCACCGTGAAACTATTCTTATGATTATATAACGGTAAATGATGATCTCATTAGAGGAACAAATTAAGTAAAGATACATGTTGAAGCAAGAATAATTTCCACATGCAAAACATCAAATAGGACGATCTCTAAATTAGTACGCGGCAACTTTAACTATTACATTCATAGACAATAACACTAGTAAATGCTTTATATACTGACATTGAAACAAATATACTGCTCATAATAATTGCACATCTGTAGACTTTAATCTAGGTATCCCGCGTTATATAAACCATCGCAAACCATCGAACAGCTCATCGCACTTCGGCGCAGACCAGCGCACTTCACGCGTGGCCATCAAACTTTATGATCTCCATTGCACCTCCGAGTCATACACACATATATATTCCGATTTTCTAATAATGATTTTTATTATTTTAATTCCCGTAGGTATTGCCCAAAGAAATAGGGTTTAGTTAAGGGTTTACACATCTTCATAGCTAAAATATTTTGATACTTATATCACGAACAGATATCTATGACAAACATTTCTGAAATTGTCGTTATATAAATTTAGATTTTTTTTTAAGAAACGTAGGTTTCAGCTACAGCAGACTAAATTGGCTTTTGATGGATTGAAGGCTTATGTAAAAATAAGAAAATGTGGTATAATTGCTAGTGAGTCACCTATTCAAGAAAGTTCAAATCAAGAGGAATGCTAGCAGTTATATCTATACGACCTTCAATAATGAAAAAATACGGGAACTGTAAAGTCGGTTATTAAAGGCCCCGCACCGAAATGAAAAAATATGAAACAATTCAATTGAGCAAACTGACGGCCTTCTTTATTTCAAAGCTACATGTATCTTGCCACAAAAAAAGCCCAAATACATGTATATAACAGAATTGATGTTACGAAAACCACTGAACTACGTGCTTTTGACTTTGGACAGACACATAAATACACAGAATGTTGTGAATGTGTATAGGCCCTTTATTTGTCATATAGCTCTACACTCCTATCTATTTTATACATTCTTTGGCTTTCAAATATTTAGCATTGAGCGTTCCTAGTGAAAGTAAATCCAGAAAAGAGTTATAGAAGCATGAAATTTATAAAGTGTTGTTTTGTGAGGGGATCAAAACGTAGGGATCGATGTTAATGTCTGTTTTATACGTGCAATAATATCGGCCTTCTAACTTTAGTGAAACTCTGCAGTTGTTCAGTGACGGATCCAGGGGGAGTGTTCAGGGGGTTGGAACCCCCCTTTTTTTGGACGATCAATGCATTTGAAAGGGGACATATAATTGGAACCCCCACCCCCTTTTTGCCCTGGGTTGGGAACCCTCCTTTTTAAAATGGCTGGATCCGCCCCTGTTGTTTCATGTATTTGATATGCAAATTATCACAAAACTAAAAGGATAAGATGGATGAATTAATAGTTGATCGTTTAACGTCCAGTGGCATATATTATAGATTCATTATTAGGGGGAGTACAATAATTATGATATAATGATGAACATTGGCAATCATACCACAACTTCTTTTTTATAAGAACGTACATGTGTAGATTTTCGTCTTTTACTGTAAACGACAGTGTCCCCGGGAGTCGAAGCCGAAATCAAACTTGTATAAATTTCTGAAACATACATTTCATTATTTAATCCAACGTAAAGCAAAACAAATAATACCGTTTTGAGCTATAAAACCAAGGCAACCCTTTATACTAGTCAAAAGTTGCTGGATCGTGATAGATGCATACGAAACTTCAATTAATTGTTTGTATTTTTCAATCTTTTATATCCGATAAAGATGAACACAAAATCTATCGGATAAAAACTACCGATTTTTCTATAAGATAAAATTTATCCTTATTGGAGTCAAATTTGTCATATGGATTCATAAAAGACAAAAAAATGTCCTCAGTAACGGAACAAAAAATACCCCCATGGTAAAATAATCCGTCATTCTTTAATACAAAGTACTATTGTGAATTATTTTTTCGGATATTAATCTTTTAGACATACATTAAAAACGGTGTCCTTGATATGCAACCATGAACACAATGAAAAGTGAATCTGTGAAAGTGTTCCATGTTTATTCCATTTAAATAAAGACTTGTTATGATAATACAATATATTTAACTATTTTATCAAAAAATTTAAATAAAAAAGAATATCTTAAACTCGTAAACACAATTTCAAGTTTAAAAAGTTCCTCAATTTAAAATCCTTCCTAAGGAATACGGGATATATTTGCGTGATCTTATACTTGTTTAATTAAAAAATGCCTTCAAATACATATGTTTATTTGTATTCAAATTTCCACAAAACATATTTAGCTTATTTTAAATGAAAATAAAGAACAGAAAATAAAAACACTGTTGAAGAGAAAATACATATTCGTGTTAAATTCGCCTCAGTTAAATTTGTTAATTCAAATTTGACATCTAAAATCTTAATCCGCAATCCACATTTACCCGACAATCTTGTATATTGTATTTTCTCAATGGAATAACCTTACGTGCACGTGAACATCAGAAACGAAGACAAAAATTATATTTGTAATGGTATTTATCAAAACTTAAATGTTTGAATATTTAGTAGAATATGAATTTGCCAAATAAGCGAAGAATTATAATCTTGCATTGTTCAACATTGGAGAAATGACTCAAGTTGAACATTAATCATGTTAATACTGATTCAATATTTTATTATAGTCTCACCATATACAAACATAAAATGAGAATCACAGAAATAAACATAAAACATTAAAACATTTGCATTGTATGTACCAATCTTAAAAAGAATAATGAGAGACTTTTAAGACACAATATATTTACTCATTTACATTTAAAATTTACAGTGTCCACCTGTACTATATGAAAATAAAACATTTTTTCTTTGAGAACTAGGAAATAAAATGCCGTTTCTTTTCAATGAAATATTGTTGATGTTTTTGGCAACTATAGCAGCAACATTGCCGTTATTAAATAAAAATATAAATTTTTCGCTATCTGATAATTAAAGGTTAAAATGTTCATTAAAATGTTTAGCTTAATATATCATAATTTGTCTTAAATCTACATATAATAGGCATTTTAAAATGACATGAAGTTCATCTTCAATAGTAGAGCTACAACACATGTCATCTCGTGGACTTCTTTTCTTTCATATGTGGACAAGTTCATTTATATAAAAATTATCTATTTGATATTATTCCCAACTTTGTACTTCGTTTATATCTATTTACTCTATATTATAATGATCTTACTATATTGAACATATATTTGTATTATATGGTTCAATGAATCCAAATACTCTATCTAGGCTCTTTGATATTTACTCACCACTGGCTATTGGACAAATTACTTTTCTTAATAGTTGTTTTATCTGGTTCTGGCCAGTTTGACAGTTCACCTTTTGACTATATATACTGTAATTTTTAACTATATTGTCAATGCAGAATAAGTAACACCAGAAACAACACTATGAGCCGTAGCCAGCATTATAAGGTATTTATAGTTTAAGGGTTTTTCAAATTAATCTATGGTTAAAAGTTTTTGTCTTAAATATTTTATTTAGTTTCATTTACTTTGCTAATTGTATTTCAAACTTTATATTTTCTTTTTTACCTGTAATAAACTTTCAATGTTGTATAGTATTTTATTGAGACGTATGGTCAACTTACTTTAGTGAACAGTTTTCATTAGCATTAATTAACAAATTGTTTACATTCAGAGTTGTCATTTAACTAGTTTTGCATTATTATTATTTATTTGCAATAGTGTAATTAAACATAATATACATTATTTGCTACAAAATGATATATTCATATGCATTTATTTGTAAAGTTATATTTATTTGTCATTATCTGTATATTTCAGATCTGTCGTTGCCTTCTTTATAGTACATAATAAAGTATTTGAACGTTCTGCATTCAATTCATCTATGCCTTATTCCACCTGGTCACATATGGCGTCGTCGACAAACCAGAAGGCAATGATTGCTGACATTCCATCAGACGGCTGAGCGGGGTATCTACGGAGTAAGCCGAACATTTACGAAGTTGATGTGTGTGTGTCATCGGGCTATCCACGGAGTTGACCGAACTTTGACGGAGTTTCTACCAGATCGGAAATCCACGGAAGGAGCCGACCAGTGACGGAGATTATTGGTGTTATTGGAATATATACGGACTTAACCGAACATTGTCGGAGATTGAAAGGCGAACACTAACGAAGATGTATAACAGTGCAGAAACCATGTACCAATGAGGACCGATGAAGTAACTGTTTTCTGTATTTGGAATATATGTGATATTGAGAGATATTGTGATATATGTTGAAATGTGTAAATTTTTTTTTCATTTTGGATTATGTGTTTTATTCATACTGGATTATAGTTGTGCATTTATTCACTTTTTGTGAATATAGAGTTGAAGTTATATATTGTGTATTTTTGCAATTTTTGTATTTTTTATAATTTTCAATAGTTTTGAAAGTTCATAATGGCAAGTCATCCTACTTGTAAGTCTTTACAAAAGCAAGTGAATGAATTACAGAATAGTATTAAAGAAATGTCTTGGAAATCTGGTGGTGAAAATGAAGTGAAAAAAGCACCGAATGAAAAGAATGTTGTATATGCATTTATTTGTAAAGTTATATTTATTTGTCATTATCTGTATATTTCAGATCTGTCGTTGCCTTCTTTATAGTACATAATAAAGTATTTGAACGTTCTGCATTCAATCATATCCAACTATCGCGGTCATCACGTGACTTTTACAATTCAGTTGTATATCATTAATGGCCGATTGATTATCAATGAAAATGAACGGGCTACATAGATTAAACGATCATAACTTTTTTGTTACATTGTGTATTTTACCTTCCAACCCCGCGTTTTATAGTATTTTCATTTTTACAGTTAAAAATGTTTTAAGTTTCAGTTCAGAAATATGATTTCTTGCTTCAAATTAAGTTTGAAAATGGAGGTGACATAACCACACAGCCTCCGTTGACTTCTTCGTTAAAACTCAATAAAATTGCAATGGGACCTTCTTATATGATCAGTTTTCTCAACTTATTATTTGTTAATAATATCCTTCCAACCTCTAAAAAGATCGACAACACATTCATTTAAATGAAATCGAAACCCAAATCAGTTCAGGTAACAAACTTTTTGCTTCAAAATTTGATTGAAAAGTTTACATTTTGGCATTCGTTAACAATATTTTGAAAATGGCGGCCGATGTCGGTAGTAAACAAAGACACGACATGTATTCATTTAGCAATTAATTAAAACGTAATTTGTGAAATAGTTATTAAAGTGTGTCTTATTGTTTTTAGAAATTTCTTATTTCACCTTTAATTTAACATATTTATTAGAAACTGTCTCTCGCACTCAAAACAAAGATTTATATGCATCAACCATGCATTGTTTACATTGACCATGTTGACAGCGTAGGTCGACTTGTGAAAATATAGATTGTAATATTTTACGATGAAAATCAAAAAACTGTTGGATGCATGCGTTTTCAGTTTTTGTCTTACCTTAAAGCAGCATAGAATCAAATATTTTGTCTTTTTGATAAAGTGGATACATGCTTTTTGTTTTGATAAAATTTCGAAGTTACGTAAAAAAATGGCGACCAAACAATTTTCAAACGTAGACGATGTTCGACACTAATTTTGCCCATGCAAATAACACAATTTAATTTCACTGTTTATATTGCAATTAAATATGACACGTTATTGTCACTCTAATAATACCCAAGGACATAGCCTGATTAAGGAGATATTAAGTCATCAACGTGATCAAAGAAAACAAACACGGCACCTAATCACGATGTAAGATCATGTAAGTTTTGACAAGACTTATGTAGATTAGTATGGTCCGATTCTTATAGAAATTATTTTATGGTATTATTTTATATTAATAAAAAAAAACCTCGAAACCCCGAGGTGAAATATCTATATTTTTCAATTTTCTAAATCATTCATCACACGGGTTACCAGTAAATTTTTCATAATCCTAATTGAACCAGTAACATGCAGAGTTATCGAACGTAATTATGACTGGTATAGTTGCATATGTCATCTATGCCTTATTCCACCTGGTCACACATACTTTCCAGTTTCTATTTTTAATGGAGCTACCCCACATCTAAATTTTGCAAAAGCACTGGTTTTTTTTTATTGGCGGAATATTTTTAACAAATAACAGTTGGCCAACAGTATATTTTTAAGCCCATTTTGCTCAGTTGAATAGAAATTCCAATTTTAACTGTTCTGTCGTAGAAATGTCATCATGTTATTGTTTGTACGTAGAACATGTATCATTATATTAAAATGTGTCAGTCCCAGCCAAGATTCACTGAATAACCACGAAATGTTTACAGATGATAAATAAATTTTTCACAAAAAATGATGAATCTGTATGAACGTTATGTACGATGAAGTTAATTAAGTGTTCACAAGAAAGTAAGTATGAATGTAAATTTTATTTAAAGTCGGAACATATATATACACTTTAACCGTGAGATAAAATATAAGCTTTGATGAGCTCTATAACCGACTATCATATAAAAACCGCAATGAATGAACGTTACCCGATTAGAGATGAACGTTTGACAAATGCACGTTATCTGATGTACACAGTTATACACGATTGACGAACGCACGATACACGGTTAAGAATGAATGATTGATGAACGCACGATACACGCACGATACACGCACCATACACGATTAAGAATACACGATGCACGCACGTTACACGGAAAATACACGGAACGATGAATGATGAGCGCACGATTGGTACACGCACGATACACGCACGCAACACGCACGATACACGATGAACGCACGGAATAATTTTCAGTTTGAATTTTAGAAGGTCTGTAGTAGTTCCGAATGTATCATCAGCTCAGTACAATGTAATTAGTTCCTTGGTGATGACATACTTATAACATATATTTCTTGCTAAAATTCCCCGTTGATAAATTAATAAATTACTAAAAGTCCAAGGTTCCAACTTCCTCAGGAAAGGAAAACTTAGCCAAATTTGGATATGCTTCTAAGGATCTTCTCAGTAATATAATTTCTACTTTTCTACCCTTTTATACATGGCGGGCCTTCAAATGATTTGGTTTGAGCGTTCATGAATGAGGTTGATCAAGAAAAGCGCTTTGGACGTAACAAATATTTTTTTAACCGATAAACAATCCAATTCAGTTCCCCCAAAAAGCAATACATTCGCACATTAAAGAATTACGCAATTACCCAAATTATACTCCAAAATTGTGAATTTTAACGAGATCTACAAAAAATGACTGCTTCATTAAAACACTATCAATAAAAAACGTTATTTCTGTGTTAGGTACAAGTCATTCTGTTAATACATTTTACCACTAGTGACACAGAGCAGGATCTGCTATCCTTTTTGAGATAACCCCTGTTTTTTTGGTAGGGTTCTTAATGCTGAGTTTTTAGTTTTCTGTGTAGTTTTTTGTAGATATTTGTTTGTCATTTCGTCGTTCTGTTTTGCCGTGATATTGTCTGTTTTTCTTCGATTTATGATATGATGTCCCTTTGGTATCAATGTGTCTTCTTCAAAACAACAGATGTCTAACAATTGCTTTAAGATAAGTTTCTAAAAGTGGAAAAAAAAGAAGGAGAAAACAATTACAACGAAATATAATTCGCCTTTTGCATGAATTCTACGAATTGAACTATTTGAACGTTTCCAAGTTTTGAAAATATTCATATTTCGTTGTTTTAAGTTAATGTTTGATGCTACAATGATTTCATGGTTTCTGATTTTTAATTTAAGGTTGCAAACAAACGAGATATACATCATTTATTTGAACTATGTATCCATTTGAACGTGTTAATGTTAGTTTTTAATGCAGTCGTATAAAAGTAAAATGGAGGAGAAGATGGTAAAGCACTGGGGCAATCAAAATCCGGTCGAAGATAAACAGACACCACCATGTCCAGAGAAACATTATCAAACAGACAAACTAACAAACTAACCTACAGTCCACAAATCACTACCCAGAAAACTAAAAATTGGCATCATGCAAGCCTTTAAATATCATATTGGCGTTGTAAGTTTGTCTTCGACTTATGAGTTTAAATCTACCGTTGGTATCTTTTGCCTCCATTTCAGATCCATTTATGACCATTTTGTACAGTATATTGACTTGGGCTCCTAATTCTATTATTACAAAATTATTAAGGTTTCCCAACGATCTGGTCTGTTTTGCTTTCGTTCCATTTACATAGCACGATACTATTGCATGGGTTTTAATAAAATATGTTAAACTTCATTTGTTTTGTTTTTATCATTGTAACCTTTCAGCTGTGTTCATTTGACAATACGACTGATGTCGCGAGCGAAGCAGGATAGTGCAACCTTTTCAAAGTACGTGATATCAATCTTAAATGTAATAGGAGTGTTGTTATTAAGATGTAATCCTTAAAACATATTGGTCTCTGTTCTCTTTGTTCATGCGCATGTCTTGTGGCTTTTGTTTTTTATATAGATCTTTTTATATATCATTTTCGACTCGCTATTAATGCTATTTCCTTTTTGTTATTTATCGCAGTTATAAAAGAGAGGCGAAAGATACCAGAGGGACATTCAAACTCATAAGTCGAAAACAAACTGGCAACGCTATGGCTAAAAAAGAAAAAGACCAACAGACAAACAATAGTACACAAAACACAACATAGAAAACTAAAGACTGAGCAACACGAACCCCACCAAAAACTGGGGGTGATCTCAAGTGCTCCGGAAGGGTAAGCAGATCCTGCTCCACATGTGGCACCCGTCGTTGCTCATGTTAGTACAAACCCGGTAATAAGTCTAATTCGGTAGGTCACATTCGGGAAAAGGGGACAGGACTGTAGTTACGACATTAGGTAAAATCCGTTATCATCTGTGAAACGGATATTCCATAACAGTCAACCAACTCGTGATGGCGTCCGTAAAACTTACGAAGGGATGATTTCAACTTCACCACTTGGAACTCTTGGTTTTATAGCAACCCTCTATTAAGGAAATCATGATAGGAAATAAAAGCCCTGGAATATCGTATCAACTGGAAGATATTAATAATACTAGAACATCATCATTTTTTTTAACATGATGGAAAAACCAAAATTACGCTCGAACTACCGATTCATGAAATAAAACAATGTAAATATGAAAAGAAGAAATACCAGATAATTTACCCCCTTCAGAAGCGACAGCAAAATTAAAAAAAAAGTATATCAATGAAAACAACACTATACATTCCATGTGTCCGAACCAATTTTATCTTCATCACGTAGAGTATATGATATGATGGATACTAAATATTTCTTTTAAATTTATTTTTTAGGTTTTGTTAGTAATATCAAATCAGAAATAAAAGTGACTTTGAATGTCAGTTCTGAACTTTGATATACAAAATACAAAAACTCTTCCCGTCTCTTTGATATTTAATCAAAATAAATATACAACTGAATGGCTATTTAACCCATAAAACTACCATTTACCTGGTTAAAAGACATTTCATTTTGAATTGCATGTTTTAATCCACCTTTTTATCAATAGTTTGCATTGGTACACAGTTTTCTTTTCTCAATAGTATAAACCTCACTAATCAGGTATTCTAGGTATTTGTCAAATGTTAATTTATATGAATTCATTATATACGGTTCGGCACGCTTGTCGTCTCTAAATGATTCGA